AGGGAGCACGGTATAAGACTAAAGCTATGAGGTCAGTGTTTAGCTTGTTCATTTCATTGTGAGTCCAAAGCATAGTAAGATTGATTACATTATTTTTCTTAAAGCTAGTTAAATTTAAACAAGCTGAGTGCACAGTAGGAAGACAGATTGAATACACAGTCAGTTTGTGATTCCCAGAAAAGTCATTCCCCCACATCACTGTCTTTGATAGCCACTATTGTGAAACTGGTGATTTTTGAAGAGTTATCTTGTCTTGGCTTTTCATGTTGCTAGTGGTTTTCATGTTGAGATTTATTTGTCTGGAGTTAGTTTGTTGGTTAAAACTTCTGGCACACCTGAGTTGAGTGAATGTTTGTTTTGGTGCTTAGTATTTCCTCTGTTTTGTGGGTTGACTTGACTAAGTGTTGCGCGGAGATAGTCAATGTTGCATCATGGATGAGCTAACTATGGGCGACCTTGATTTGGTAGGTGGGGGCATGACTTCTCATCTCAAAAAACACAGTCAGTGCAGTGTGTGTTGGGTCTGTGCATCCTCTGATCTCAAAAGCTGGGGTTCATAAGATGTTGTAGGAATGTGTTTAGGGTATGGACATCCTGCTGTAAGAGAGTCCTGTGTGCCAGGTATGAGTGGGTTTGGCATCCTTTCGCTTCTTTATTTAGTGTGCACTGGGGTTAGGGGGCGTTTTATCTTCTCTGGTTTCATTAGCTGGTGTGTACAGGGCCTGGACGAAGTTGTGGTTGGGGCAGAGGTCTTGAGGCCTTTAACCTGCCTGGCCAGGGTGGGTGGGCTGAGGCAAAACAATTACAAGAGACAGGAGGGCTGAGGATCTATCCAGTGAGGGTGGGTGCAGCGTGACAAAAATGTGCATAGGAGGTAGACGATCCATGGACATTCAGCCTGTTTTCCTGGGATTGGCAGAGGGAAGTGAAATCATGAAGGAAGGAATGAAGAACAATAGCCTGATAAGCAACAGCGAGCAGAGGTTGGCAGAAGGGGAAGCAGGAGATACAGGGGCCTCTGACTCACCCAAGCAGAATATTCCTAGCATAGGAGAAGTATGCTTGGGAGGTATAAGATCTGGAGACCTATAGCCTATCCAGGCCATGTGTTATGGGGCAGCCTAAATTCAGTTCCTGTTTCCTTACCTTACTTCCTGGAAGAACTATTCTGTGGAGACTAGAATATCTAATCTAGCAAAGAAATGGAATAATGAATTATGCTATTGAGTTATTAGAAGGTACTGTGAGAACAGCCAATACTACTTCTAATTTTTGGGTCTCAGGCACAGATATTCTACTTATAAAGGTATACAACATACTGGTTCTTTGAATATAACTATCTTAAGAAAGAGCATCTCTGTCCTTTTGAGGAACTAGTTGCTGGTAGAGGAATGCTGCCAGTTCATAAAAGAATTCTCTATAAACAGGGCGTGGTGGCGCACGCCTTTAATCCCAGGACTCAGGAGGCAGAGGCAGGTGGATCTCTGTGAGTTCAAGGCTGTCCTGGTCTACATAGTGAGTTCCAGGTCAGCTGGGGCTACAGGGAGACCCTGTCACAAAAAAATGCTCTATTGTAAACTACCTCCAGGTGATGTAATATATGAATATATGGCAGGACCAGTGGATGCTTTGGTCATATGCCCACTATGCCATCTACCTTACCACAAAATGTTTTCTGTAGTCAGTGGCAATATGGCATAAAATCAAGTGTTCATAGGTCTAACAGACTGGAGTACTGGTAGAGGCACTGTGAACAGAGCAAATGCATTTCAAGAAAGAGGTTTAGTTCTTAAAGACAAATGACTATTCTTTTCAGAAAGCCTATGCTTTGAATTTTCAGTCCTGATGAAATTATAACCACTTCGAAAGGCAACACCTTTTGAATAATAAGCTCTGATATTTCCCTTATTCACAATAAGCTCTGATATTTCCTTTATTCATTGTCTCTTTACTCCTCTACCCTCTCCTACCTCCACAGAGGTTCTTGTCTTAAATTCTTGCTTCAGAAGAAACCAAAATAAGAATATGTCACAAACTCTCCTTAAATAGACTGCTCCCAACATTAGCAGACGCAGGTTTTATCCCCCATCCTATGTCACACATATATCTTCCTCAGGTACCTAGCACTTACCTCCTTTCTGTATCCAATTAGCATGTCAAGACTGTAGAGGACCAACAAGGTAACCTGCCACACTTCCTTATTCTCAACATTCTTTCAAGACCTATTCATAACAGAAATCTGGAAAGTTCTTCCAATGCTAGAGAAAATCAATGAATGTGTACTGCAGTTTTTTCATGAAGCAGTCAACTGTTTTTATTCTATTTCACTGATGGAGCATCTGTCAGTTCAATAACAATATATCAAAACAATTTTATTCTAGTAAAACCCCACATCTTACACAATAGCTATTATTGCAGCTACCACTTGGCTAAGTTTACCATAGCCCACAAATGTGCATCATGACTTATCTAACTACTGCAGCAGACAAAACTATCAGTGTCAACCTTCCTATATTTTAAAGTCTTTGTTTGTAATGTTATCATTGAAAATTCCTCTTATTTTAGACCCTGGACCAGAAAGGAGAGATTACACTTTTAAAATTTTGGTTTGCAGTGAACTTTCTCAAATTAGTACAAGTTGTAGGTGAGATTAGTATCTGATTTCCTACCTTTGACCCTAGGAGATAGATGATTTCAAGAGCTTCCATTTGTTCTTTCCTATCATCAAAACTCAGCAGAGATCAGGGAGGACACTTTCAGTTGTTAAGCAGATGAATATCTTAAGCCAGGCCCTGAGGAGTCCACAGACCCGGTGGACATCCTGTGAGACTGACTGAAGGCCAGCATGTCTTTCACCAGTTGATCTCCACTCTGGGTCCTCAATATCGGTGTAAGCCCAGCATCTGTGTCACATGGCCATTAATGACTTGGTAATTCATTTTCCATGGTTTATGAGTCCTTGGGTAAACAGTTTCAGGTCCTATGGGCAATGAGGAAACACCTACCAAAGGTACTTGAAATGGCATTACAGCATTCTCCATCAAAGGATCTCTTTCACTCTCAATTGAAGGGTTTGGGCATGAGATTACTTTTGTGGAAGCAGCCTTTTGCTCATTGATTCTTCTTGTGTTAGTCAAGGCAATCAACATGCTTAGGCTACACATATGTCATCACATTAAGAACATTCCTGTTTAATTTGAGTCCATATTTCATGGCAACCTCGTTTCTACTGTAGCTTTGCAGCTGCCCACCATCACTATCTTCTCCTTACTTCTGTTGACTAACAGCTTCCACGGGGCTGTTGTTTCCCTGGAGTTCTGTCACCATCATCATACCTAGCTCCATGGAAACATCTTTTAATACTTCATTTCAACCTCAGTGGACATATCTGAGGGCAGTGTCCCATGCAAAAGGAACAGCGCATGCAAAACACTAAGGCTTGTTTTGCTTGGCAAGGACTGGGTGAGCTCTGAAGCATAGCTTGACGTGAGCCATCAAGGACAACTTTTAAGCCAGGGGAAGGGTTTTGGATTTGAATGAGACAGTAAGTCATTAAAGGATTCTTAGTGGAGGACCACCATATTCTATCAGCTCTTAAAAGGATCAGTACAGATGCTGAGCAAAACTGGGCTGTGAAAGGGAAGTAGAAAGCCCTGGCAGAGGGCTACAGTGATTGTCCAGACATGCGCGGATGGTGCCTTGATGCCTTTTGTATTCTAGGTTGCTTTGTATTTCTATTTACCTTGAGGACACAGACCTCATACTCTGAATTTATGAAGCATGGACATGACCTACATGCACCCATTCAACTATTGTTTTATAAATAATTGCTTAAGTAGCACTAATGGTACTGGTAAATCCACATTGCTTAGTGACACAATGGCACCACCAGAAGGCCTTGTTACTGTCTATACTGTCACCAATCTCATCTTGTTTTTTACTTCATTACATCTCAGAGACTGTAGTAGATCCAACTCTCAACGAGGGATAAACGTGATGGCAAATTTTGATGGTTTGACCTCAGCATGGGATTTATGACCGAAGCAGTAAGGGGCACTGTCAAGAATCTCGATAACATTTCTCCCAAGGCCATCCTCACTGTAGCGACATGCCTGGGGAGAAGAGAGGGTATGAATCAGGGAGAGCTGGATCAAACAAGTCTCATTTCTTTAGATCAAGCGAGCTGGGGGTCGAAAACCCAAGGATGTCTAGATCCAGCCCTAACATTCTGGACGCGGTCACAGTCTCGGGCCTCATCCCAGAACCACAGACATGAACTGCCCTCGGTCGAGGATGCTGCGAGTCTCTGGACCAATCTCAGCGCCGTCCACCTTGCGCCACACGGAGCATGCTCAAGAGGTAGCGGCCAGTGGCCGGCCGGAGCGGGGCGAGAAGGCGGAGCCACGCAGTGCGCACGCGTGCTAAGACACATAGGCGGAAGTGGCGCGCCGGCGCCGGGGATGCGGAGACCTTCCGGGGAGGTAGCGGCAGCCCGCTCCGGGAGAGTGGAGGCGGAGGAGGAGGTGACTGGGGTGGGGAAGCTGGGGCCGACTGGCCGGGGTCTCCCGGTGACTGGCCGGCTGGGGGGTGGGCGAGGTGTCGGAAACCCAGACCCCCTGTTTCCGGGAAGGTTGTCCGCCTCTTCCCCTGGGGCCGGAGCGGGGACCTCCGTTTGGGAGGATGGCCACCGGCTGGCGCGGTTTCTAGGAAGGAGCATCCTTCCTCCTGGCCGCTTGGTCCCCTGAGACTGGCTGCAGCGCCCTGGGGCCCCCATCTGTGGACCCTTCTGGGATGACACCTCCGCCGGGCTCCTCTAGCCTGCCTTCTGTGCTTCGGAGAACTGTCAGTCTCCAGGGTTCTTCCAGCCTGCAGTTGTAGTTGAGAGAACCACTTCCGGATCCGTGTGCTTCACTCCGGGGGCTGCCTTTTGCCCGGCAGTGAAACGGATTGTTCTTCCCGGGTTATTAAGTGTATGCCGCTGAAAGTTACGCGTGTTCTTCCTGTTCTCGTGGCTGAATTCCCTTCCTCGTCCTCCCCTCCACCCCATCACCGTGTAGAAGGTGGATTGACTTGGTATACTAGCAAGAGTTTCCGGTTTTTAAAAAACAAAGATGTTGGGCATCTCAGCGCTTCTTCTGCAGCAGGTTATCAGACTCCAGAATTCTAGTTAAAACGTTTTTACTTTAAGGGAATGGAAGTAGTTTGAGACTTGGAAAAAAGACATTGTCAGCATTTGAAAATGGTTTAGATATCGTTGCTTGTCCTTAATATAGAGATTAAATCCCAAATTCAGCCTTCTCCTTTGGGATAAAAGAGGTTAAAAACTTACCAGTTTCTCAGTTCGTGTGGTGGTGTATAGAAGAAATCAGAATCTTGTTTTCCTGCTTTATAATCATACTCCACATTCCATGATTTATCAAGAATGCAAGCAAGGCATGGAGGCAAGACCCTTGTCACCTGAGTGTGGCAGTTTTATTTCAGGCTACTCACATGATAGATTTTCCTCACATTCCACATTTATGTAATGGAAATCTTTTATCTTTCAGGTTTGAAAAGATTAGATTAACAAATAAGCTGAGGGTTGCAAGATGTGTCGGCCAATAAAGGCTCTCAAGGCCAAGCCTGATCCCCTAACAATCTCTAGGACCCACTTGGTGGAAGGAGAGAACTAAGTTCCCACAAGTTGTCCTCTGACCTCTGTGTCTGCTGTGGCATACTTGCGCAAACCCATAAACACACACAAAATGAATGAAAATATAATTAAGTCATTAAAAAAGGAAATAAGCTGAAAATAATTTTTATTTCAGCAGGTCATTATAAGTCAACCTTGTCAGTGTTTATAAATTTTTAATGTACAGTAACTGCTGGAAACACTTTTTAATTCCATTTCAGCTGTTTTTTTATTCCTTCAAGGAGCTAAAGTTAAATAAATGCCTGTGTTGAGTTTAAGAGTCCTCGGGCTGGAATCCACGTTTGTGATTTCTTTCTATTTTAGTTTCAAGGGTTATCTCAAGCTTCTAAAAGTAAAACAAAAATGTCAGTTATTTGATTTGAAAACTTTTAGTTCCATGCTTGCGTTTTTCTTTGGTAGGATTTAAAAATTTTTTTTATTACATCTTACGTTTTGTGGCGGGGTATGTATGCCTGTGGCACCACACACAAGTGGAGGTCAGAGGAGTTCTTGCAGGAGTGGAGTCTCTCCTATCATGTGAGTCCTGGGGATCTAACTGGGATTGTTATGTGTGGCAGTGGGTGCCTTTACCAACTGAGCATCTCACCAGCACTCTGCTGGTTTGGGTTTATTTGTTGTTGTTGGTGGTGGTGGTGGTATTGTTGTTGATGTTGTGTTAAAGACACGGGCTATGTGTCTCAGAATGACCTCAAACTCACAGTAGTCTTCCTGCCTCAGCCTTCCAAGTGCTGGGATTTAAGACATGAGCAACCATACCTGGCCATACTCGATTGTTTTTTTTCCTGCACTACAAGGGCTTTGCATTCAGTTTCTTTAGATGGCAGTATCAGTCATTAATATTTGAAACAAAAGAGAGATTGCCAACATTAGGGATCAAGTGTGAGAGTATCAGAGGCCTTCATTGGTCATGCTAACAAGTGATGTGCACATTGATAAAATAAGACTGCACTCCAAATACAGCTTTAAAGGGCAGGTTTTGTGGTACTGAGGCATCAAGTAAGCACTGGCAGCAAATCTGTTTCCATGGTCATCACAAATGCTTTGTGGGACATTCAGAAGAGATATCAGTAGAGTGTGTTTAGAAAAGGTAGGGCTGGAGAAGTTTTACCCTGTACGTGCTCATAAGGCTGCAAGGAGGTATGTCAGGAGTGTTAAAGTCAAGGAAGGAAGCAGAGAAATATTGGTCACATGGTGTTTACTAGTACACAAGACAGTCCTTCATCGACAGTCTTGTGGTCTTGTAATGTGCTGTACCATCATATGGAGAAGGCTGCGTGGGAAGTCCATGTCCCTATTTCCATTGCATGTCAGAGGAATGAATCGGTGTCAGCAAGAGTTCTGAGAAGCCAAGTAGTGACATCTGACATCCATGGGCAGTCACACTATATGCTGTGTTCCTTTACCTTTATTTCCTAGAGTTCCCTCAAAAAATCCTACAAATAGCTCATTTTACCTTCTGCTTTAGAAGTACAGCATCTGAAGCTTAGGGAGTAATTTGCCCAAATTTCTTGGGTAGTGAGTATCAAAGCTCAGATCTCTGAACTCCAAAGCACAGGGAGGCATCATGTTGTAACAGTTTGTTGTACTGTTAGCTGTAGTTGAGTCAGTACAGTGTGCTTGCCATCTCAGAAGAGAGGACTGTTGAGAAAAAGGTACTTCCTGGAGAAATACTTCCATGCTAGTAAAAGCGGGAGATTGTGTAACATTGATTCTGTATGTGTGCATGGGTATGTGTCACTTACAAAAGCATCTGCACTATTCTCCCAATTTTAATTTTCTGTAAGATTTTCAGTTTTGCTGATAAATTTTGCCAGCGCTACACAGTTTTTTTGTTTGTTTTTGTTTTTTAATATATCTAAGCAAGGGTGATTATAGGCTGAGGTCTGAGGGAGTCCAGCAGATAGACCAGCTTATTTGGTTCTCTGAGTTTGGGGTACAAAGTATATGCCAGATACCAAGCTAAAGATACTGATAAGATTTGAATCTTGCCCTTATCATCTAACTACAGGGATTTGTGAGGGTGTCACAAAGAAGGGGGTGTGAAAGCTGAACTTGAACTTGAATCTGACCCAAAGAGTAAGTCCTGAGTCAGAAAGGATACCATGAGCCCAGGGCTGTTAGAGTTCCAGGTTGTACTCAGAAATGGGACTGAAAGGGTTTAGGCCTTTTATTGAAATGCACTAGAGAAGAGAAGCTTAGAACCTGTGTGTGTGGTCACATTTATTTAAATGGTGCTCTGTAGCTGTGTCTAACACAAAAAATAGTAATGAATATTACTTCTTCAATGTTCAAAGGTTTCACCTGAATGAACTATCAGCATTGGGGGTGGGGAGCCCAGTCCAAAGCATGGTTTATCGTGGAAGTCCCATTTCAACATCTCCTACAAGATGGCATAAAACTCTACCCTGAGTGGGAATGATTGAGGCGTTGGATGGCAAGGGAGAACAGAGTAAGAAACACGAGTGCAGGAAGGAGGACAAACTTCATACAAGAACTTGTGTGTTCTCTTTGGAAATCTGGCACATGTCTCAGAGCAAATGTGTCAGTGCCTAAGTCCTGCTAGTAATGAGTGTAGTCAGGACCTTGACCCCTGTTTAAGTGACTGAGGTCTCCTTAGTGTCTGCAAATCAGCAAACCAGAAACGATCATGAAGAGGTTTTCTTATCATTCATAGTGTCACTTGACAGGTCTTTCAGGGGATGTGAAGTCCACTGTCAAGCTTGATCTTCTGCCCCCAGAGTCTAAATTTCCCTTCTCACTGGAATTATAACAGTTTCTAGGAAAATAATCTTTTCCTCATAAGTGAGTTCCAGTGTCTCATAGTTCTTCATTTTTAAAAGGAATTTATTAGTTTCGGTTTACATAAATCTAATGGGAGACTGACATTATTGATGGTGCTCTCATGATTTTTTTGTCACACACACTGACAGAAAAAAAAAATGGCACATTTTCTGCCTTTTACATTCCAAAGAATATTATGATAATTTCACTTATGGAAGGTGAAAAAAAAGTTTTCTTAGGCTGGCATAGTGGCTCATGCTTATCACCCTGGTACTCCAGAGCCAGAGGAAGAGGAAGTTCCTAGCCAGCCTGAGCGACATAGGACACTGTCCTAAGAATGATTTTGGGGTTTTGTTGTTGTTATTGTTGTTGTTTTTTGTTTGGTTGGTTGGTTGGGGTTTTTTTGTGTTTTGTTTTGTTTGTTTGTTTGTTTGTTTTTTGTCTTTTTGAGACAGGGTCTCACTGTAGCCCCAGCTATCCTGGAACTCACTATGTAGACCAGGCTGGCCTCAAACTCAGAGATCTGCCTGCCTCTGCCTCCTGAGTGCTGGGATTAAAGGCGGTACGCCACCACATCTGGCTCTGTTGTTGTTTTTAACCTAAGAAATGCTGTTACTAAAACCTTCTTTCCTTTCTGTACTCCCTGATAAATCTAAAGAACTCACACCCATTTTACTTTATTTTAAAATCACTTCCAAATGGATTTTATAGTTGTCAGTATTTAAGAGTATCTTTAGTCTTTAGTCTTTATTCTTCTAGAAGATTAACTTTTAAAAAAAATATTTTTTAATGTTATGTGTGTAAGTGTACTGCCTGCCTATCATGCAGTGCCCATGGAGGCCAGAAGAGGGTGTTGGATCCCCTGAAATGAGTTACAGATGGTTGTTAGCCACCATGTGGGTGCTGGGATTTGAACCCAGGTCCTCTACAAGAGCAGCCAGTGCTCTTAACCAATGAGCCAAATCTCCAGCCCCAGAAGAAGACTAACTTTAATTTGAAACTATTTTGCATTTTATTTTATTAAAATTATATATTTACTAGATATAAAAACATGGTGCCATGTTTGATGAACTTAATACTAGACTGGCTTTTGGGACCAGGTAGATAAATATGATGCTTACCCAGTGTTGGTTAGTGTGTTCAGTGCTTTGGGAGCTGGAGTGTGAGAAATAACACTAATGTCCAGTGACCACATCTATATAGTTTACACTATACTCTGGATTATGATTTGAAGCCTGCTACTTTACAAACTAAAGTATTTCCATAATTGCTTCTTTCCTTCTCTAGGACGTGGCCAAGCAAGCAGAAGAAAGACTTAACCTGAAAGAGAAAAGCAGCACAGAGAACTCAGCAAGCCTTGAATGTGGCAGGGTCAGAACGATGGATCTCAAGTTCAACAGCTCCAGGAAATACATCTCTATCTCTGTCCCATCCAAAACCCAAACAATGTCGCCGCACATCAAGTCCATTGATGACATTGTGGTGCTTGGCATGAACCTCAGCAAGTTTAACAAACTTACTCAGTTTTTCATATGCGTTGCTGGAGTTTTTGTATTTTACCTAATATACGGATACGTACAGGTAAAACATAGTTTGTAACATTACTTTACCAGTTGATGTCTATATCTGTTTTTGCTCTTTGTGTCTAATCATGATATTTTTATTTACAAGATACTAATTGATTCATAAACTTGAAATTTTTGTAGAGCAATAGGAAAGGGTTTGTTAAAAGGGCTACTGAAAGTAAAAGTCGGAGTTTCCAAGTTAAGTATTTTAATTTGGAAAGAGATACTATCTTGATATAAAGTTATGAATGTAAATTTTTAAATACTTAACAAAACATAGGTAATTGCACCAGGTGTGGTGGTGTAAGCCTTTAGTCCCAGCACTCAGGAGGCAGAAGCAGGCAGATCTCTATGAGTTCGAAGCCATCCTGGTCTACGTAATGAATTCCAGGCCAGCTGGGGATACAGGAAAACCCTGTCTCAAAAAAAAAAAAAGGTAATTGATTGCAATCATGATTCAAGTGTTGCTTGATATCTGGGAACATCTGTTTTAGTTTCAGTAAAACTGGATGATAGCACAGTTTACTCTTGACTAGTGTTGTTAGTGTTGTTCATTGATAAAGTGTTATTTTCATTTTCTTACTTTTTGAGAAAGGGTCTTGCTCTGTAGCCCAGACCACCCTCACGTTCACAATCCTGCCTCATCCTCCCATTTCTTAGGATTATTGGCACATGCCACCACGCTTAGCATAAAAGGTCACTTTTACAGAATAAAAAGGCTGAGAAAATATGACACGATTTCTGCTTTCCCCCCAGTCTCCCCATTAGGATATTTCATTTTGTTAACTAGCTTTCCTGTCATATAATTTGGATTATTTTGCTTTCTCCTTTGAGGCCTGTTGTGTTCTTACTTTGTTGGTTTTCTCTTATTTATTTTTACCATGATCTTATTTTTCTGTGATTGTTATTTGCACAGTACATCTAACATTGCAATAGTTTGTCCCATATTTGCCTTGTAGTTTGAGATAGTTGGCTGGATGAGAGAGGATTCAGGCCAGTATGAACATGTGCGTTCGAATGGGACCCAGTGTTGTTAATGCACATTTAACTATTGACAATTTTTAACCATTAGTATCTTAGCTTTTTAAATTCAAATACTTCACTCAGGGAACTTTTGTAATTCAAGAAAAGGAAACTGGTCATAGTTCTGGTATTCATTAGTCCTAAATTTGGGTGATCTTAAAAATCTTACTTTCTGTTTATCTCACAGAGATAAATTATAGAGGTAAATGTAAGTAAAATTGCAACTTTATTTTTTAGCTAGTTCACAAGAATGACATGAAGAAAGTTAATGTAAAAGTAGTGTAGAGTATTATTTATAACCTGGCTTCCTGCAGAAGATATCTAAAATTGAAAGCAACATATTTTTAATATTTTATTATTATATTTTAAATTTTATGTATATGAGTGTAGTGCCTACATGTATGTAAGTACACCTATGTCATGCAATGCCCATCAAGGTCATAAGAGGGTGTTGGGTCCCCTGGATCTGGAGTTACAGATGGTTGTTAGCCACTGTGTGGGTGCTGGGAACAGAAGCTGGGTCCTCTGCAAGAGCAGCCAGTATTCATAACCCCTGAGCCACCTCTCCAGCCCCATAAAGACAACATTTTAAATAGCAGTTAGAAATAGGGATTAGGATTTCTTGTTGAGAACCTTTTTTTTTCCTTCAGAATACACATCACAAAAACTTGGGGACCATGAATAGTTATGGTAAAGCAAAATAGGAATGTAGCCTACAAATTTCATTGCTACATTTTTTCCTACTTGAATAATTATCAGAGATTTTCATTTATAACTAGAATATGCAAAGTTTTAAGTTGCATAAATTCTGCAAATTATGTTTGTAGCTTTGCCCCTCTGACTGTGAAAACTGACATTGTTACTAAATCTTACATATAATTATATATTAAAATAGTTAAGGAAAATGTCTGGGAAGTGGTTTATCCATCCCTACACACTCACCCAAGGTAGGAAGTTCAGTTTATTCAATTAAAATTAAACTGAGATAGCTCAGTAGTTAAGAGCACTTACTGTTCTTATGGAGGACCTGAGTTCAGTACCCAACACCTACATTGGATGACTCACAACTACCTATAACTCCAGCTCTGGGGAATCCAGTGCCTTCTTCTGTTCACCATAGACACTGCACACATGCACATAAATAAAATTTTGAAACTATTCTAAAAAATTTTTAAACAGGTAACATTTATAGACTACTTCTTAAAATGGCTTGTTACATGTTACTTCATAATATAATATAATGTATTTAGGACCTGAAGATGTAGCTTATTTGGTATAGTGTTGGCCTAACATGCACTAAGCCCAGGGTTCAGTTCTCAACAGAACATAAAGTGAATGTGGTGACACATGCTTATAATCATAGCACTCCAGACATAGAGATAGGAAGATCCAGCATTCACTGTCATCCTGGGCTATGTGGTGAGTTTCAGACTAGCCTGGGCTACATGAGCCATACCTAGAATATATATACATGCTAATATAATATAATATAATATAATATAATATAATATAATATAATATGCGAATATACTCTGTCAGAGTGGTTTTTCAAAGACACAGTCTATGGCACTTAAAATGGTAAAGCATGAACTATATTCCTGTAGGAAGGCCGGGCATAGATGCCTGGCACTCAGTGAAATAAACTTTTTGTGTCAGTTCTTGAAAATAAAAAAGTATTTTGCCTATTTTGTTATTCAGGGCAATTTTTCATTTTGCTCTTTTTTTTTTTTTTTTTTTTAAGGATAAAGCATAAGATGGTGCTTTGAGTTACTTCTCTGTTGATTGCTATGCCTAAGTGACCTTTCCTTGCGATTTGAGTTTGTTGTTGTTTTTGTTCTTTTTTTTCCTTTGGTTGGGAATATAATTTAGTTTCTTCTAAAATGTTGTGCTTATAACAGGACCGAGAAAGTCGGTTTACCCCTTGAACTTAACAGTGTTCACGTATCTTTTAACAGGAACTGATATTTTCAGTGGAAGGTTTTAAGCCTTATGGCTGGTACCTTACTTTAGTGCAGTTTGCATTTTACTCCATATTTGGCCTAATAGAACTTCAGCTTACTCAGGACAAAAGGAGAAGGTATGTGGTTCACTTGTTAGTTAACTTCACTTGTTGGTTGAATCTTAAAAAAAAAAAAGTTTAGCATGCTGAATATGCATGGATTTTACATTTCCCAATGGGACAGCTAATCATGAATTTTTATCAGTATAAACTATATATTAAAAATAATAAGCCTGTTTCTTCATTGAAAAAAGTAGCATCTCTGTTAAATGTAATTTAATGAAATCAAAGAAAGCCTGGACTCAATTCATGGTAAAGTATGTATCCTTCAAAACAAAATGCTCATAAACTTCAACCAAACACATTTGCTGAGTGATAAGACTTAAATGCACCGAGTTTTGTAGTAGCTTTGGAGATGTGAAGTTAGTGTTATATCAACCATCTAACATTGTTGGGAAATGTCCAGTAGTTGAAGTTTCTATTGTCTTTATTTTTTAGTTATATGAAAGTAATAGATTTCATCATAGCTGTTTTATACAGATGTCATCATACTGTGTTCTAATTCATCCCTTCCTTCCCCTGCACCCCTGTCTTCAGCTGCCCACTCTTGTCCGCCTCTCCCCTCTAGTCCTTCCTTAGGCTCTCATGCTACATATACTCTATTACCTCTCTGTTTGCTCCCCTCCCCACCTACGATCTCATCCCTTCTCATGGTACCCTTACTAATTTCGTGACCCCTCCCCCAATATATACATATTTGCATAAATTTAAATTATGTATCACATGTGAGAGAGAACATGAGGCATTGTCTCTCTGATTCCCCCATTTCACTTAACATAGTGAATTCCAGTTCCGTCCGTGGCATGATCCCATTTTTCTTGAGTAATGAATACAATTCCATCATGTATGCATACCATGTTTTCTTGTCCATTCATCAGTTGATAAACATCTAGGCTCATTCCATTCCCTAGCTATTGTGAATAGTGAAGCAATAAACATGGATGGGTAGTATTTCTGTGATATATTGTTTGGGGGTATATACCAAAGAGTGATATAGCTGGCTATGTGGTAGTTATATTTTGTTCTTTTTGAGAAAACCCCGGATTTCCATAGTGGCAGCACCAGTTTATATTCCCACTAACAGTCTATAAACCCATATTCCTTAGTCCCCTCATCCTCTCCAGCATTTATTGTCATGTGTTTTCTGCATGATAACCATTCTGACTGGGTAGAGATAGAATCTCAAAGTTGATTTAACTTTCATTTCACTAATGGCCAAGGATGTTGAAGTTTTTCAAGTATTTACTGGCTATTTGCATTTTCTTTTGAGAATTATGTATTCAATTCATTAATTTATTGACTATATGATATTCCATTTGTTGTTTATTTTGGAGTTTTTAATACACTCTTAATATTAATACCCTATCTGGAGTATAATTATTATCACAGACATTTTTTTCTTTCTTTCTTAGGCTGTCTCTCTACTCTGGTGATTGTTTGCTTTGCCTGGCTTTTTAACTTTATGTAATCCCATTTGTCTCTTCTTGAGAGTATTTCTTATACTACTGGAATACTTTTCATAAGTCATTGCCTATGCCTTTATCTTGAAGTGCTAAAGCCATTTGATCAATGGTATAGTTTTACTCTAAACTTTCCTTATAGATTTTTAATTTGGAAGACCTATCTAAAGTTGATACTTGCGTATTAAAACCCCCCACTGTTATTGTACCAGCACCTGACTTTTTACCTATTAGTGTTTGTTTTAGGAAATCAAGAGCCACATTGTTTGGTGCATATTTATTTACAATTGTTATGAAGCCTATTAAATTGTTTCCTTTATTAATATACATTGGCTTTCTTTATCTCATTTATTAATTTTGTTTGATGTTATCAGATATCAAAATAACTGTGTCAGCTTGCTTTGACTCCATTGACTTCATAGATTGACTTCCATCCTTTGACTCACAGTCTATGGATGGCCTCATAGAGAGAAACAACAGTTAGATTTAGTTTTTTCATCCAGTCAGCCATCCTGCATGTCTTTGGTGGTGAGTTGAGGTCTTCTACATTTAAGGTTACTTGTTATTGAGAGTTGTTTACTAATTCCTGTAATTCTCTTGGTTGCATTGTTCATTCTTTGTTTTCCCCTCCTGTTAGGAGCTTTCTGGTTTACTCTGCCAGACACGATGAATCCCTTTTGAGCTCTCTTTTCTTTATCTGTTCCTCTCAGGAAATTCATTCTTTCCTGTGTTCTTGTGATTGAGAGTGCTTTTCATCCTCCTTGGTATAGTGTATCTTTTTTTTTCTTTTTAATTATTTACTTAATAACCACATACTTAGAAGAAGCATTTCATTACAACAGCACTGACATATTCAATAACAATTTTCCAAGCTAAGATGCATCTCTTTCAAAATTGGCTGTAAATTTTTAGGTTTACAGTTGAATTATTACAGTTATACAATATTGTACTCAGTATAAAGCCTGTAAGACATAAAATTAAATGAAGTTTTAGCCTTTAAAAGAGATCTCCATTTCATTATTAAAATACAGAGTTTCATACAGA